GTAATGCATGCCTAACATCTGACTTAGTGTTATATGGTATTGGATAATATTTTTCATCACTAAATGAAAAATACATTATCTATTAGTTTTGTTTGTCTTTTATTTATTCTCTCAATTTTTTTTAAATTTTTAAATAATAATCAAGTATTACAATATTGTTTCTATAGTATTACTACTTATTAGCCATTTATATATTTATACTAACTAATAGTAATAATTATTTGAATGAGTCAATACCATTAGAAGTTTAACCGTAAATTAAAACGTCGCCAAATTTATGTTAGTCCCGATAACTCAAAACTCAGTTCTCCATCAAGTCCAATATACAAGTTCAAATGAAATTTCATTCTAAAACTAATTGCCAATAGAAGGAATAGTCCACCAAGCTTATATATTGAACTTGAAACCTTTAATTTTTCGATGTGGGATTGAGTTTGCATATCCTACAATTTACCAAGTTTGTAAGGTAAAATGACTTCAAAAATTCGGCCGAAACAAGTAGACTTGTTTCGGAGATCATGTTATTATTATAATATTATTAAAAACAACAAAATAACAAACATGTTATTCGGTAAGTCGGTTGTTAATCAATCTCTCAAATTAGATTAATTTAAGTTAATAATAGTTTGTAGTTTTCAAAGCTAATGGGGACAATTTTGGTAGAAAATCCCAAATTTGGCTAAAATCGAGTAATCGACACGTCCCTATTAAAGGTTTGGAGATTTTATTTTTATTTTTATTTTTAATTTTTTTTTTCTGTGTGTTGGAAATATATTTTTTAGTGAAAAATAACCCGCCATGCAGACATGCTTCACGAAATTTCCGATTAAATTTTCATAAAACTGATTAAATTTAAAAAAATTATGAGGCTGGTATCAATTAATTGTATGTATTCCAACGAAACTCCACGATTACGAAAATGACTTAATTATTTGTTTTTGTTCCTGCGTTGAAGTTAAATATGGCTTAATTAAGAATCTATACCAAGAGCAAAAGACGGTGACGCCGTTACTTGTGGCACACGGTTTTTGTTGTGTGTATAGACTTTGTAACTTGGTGTATAATTTATTATTGTTCAACTCATTTAGTTTTTTTTACTTGATTAAATTGTAATTGATAATAGGGTTCCATATTCTTATCCATATTTCAAATGACAATCAACACCTTTTATTTTTGTATTAATTTGTTATTTTGTAGGTATTATATTAAGTCGGCCAATCAATAAACTAACAAAAACATTTTCATAAATATATACAATTATAATGTTATACCTTAAACTACAGCAAAAATAAAAGTATAATATACAAGTTTGTTCACATAGCATTACTACTTCATCCATCTAAATTTAGCTAGACGATAGTTTTTCTGTCACGCCAACGGATTTTTTAAAGAATAAGCATATTTTTATTAGAAAATGTTATACTTTTTATAAAAATATAATAATTTTTGATTGTATACGCATTCTTATTACCGCTCTAATAGTTAGACCATCCCATATAAAAAATTGTGTTACTCGTACAAAATCTTATCAGTACCACAAAATTTGAATTTAAAAAATTTCAAATTTGAATTTAAAAAATTTCAAATTAAAATGTACCGCACAACACAATAAAAAATAAAATAAAATTCTACATTCTAAATATTAGAACCACACAAGCACCAACAAAAGCCGAACATGCAAAAATAAATTATCGAACCACACTTAAACATATAATCAAATTGAAACATAACAGAACAGAAAAATTTATACACTAAAACAATTGAGTCGAACCGTATCAAATTGCACGGTCGACTCGATTGTTCAATTTTGGCCCAATTCTGCTCACCCTTAAACTGTACTAATTATATGAAAATTAATTAATAATATACTATGGTTTGGGTTCTCTAGTCATGGTCTATTGATTGAGGAGCAAGTTTAATGGTGTAATAATCCGGCAATAGATTTAGATGCGAGCCGTAGGTTAGAAGCCATCGGCGCATTTATCGGCTCACGTACGCCCCGACGTAAAAGGGAATTGGAATTTCTTGAACCAAAAGTCATTGACAAAATCGTTTTTCTTAGCCAATGCTTTTGTGCCACGTTTCCACGCCGTTTTATTGACGTGTAGTGGATCACATCTCTCTTTTGGGATACACACAATCGCACTGGAACGAACCTAAATTGCCGTGTTCTGTGTACTTTGACGCCTGTCTATTTTAGGGGCAATGTTAAATCTTCTTTTAGCTTAAAATATTTCTAATGCTAATCAGTAAATTAAACTTTCAATAGGTGATTGAAACGAGAGTGAAATTTTGATTTACCACCTAATTAAACTAAAAATTATTTTTTTTAGCAAATTATTATTTTTATCAAGTACAGAAATCTGGAACTCGGATCGATCTCTCGAGTAGGACAGTTCGGGATCTAAAATTGGTGTCAATCACACACAAAACGAAAATAAGATTATAAACTTTATAATTATTGTTGGTTTGAGTAAATTATCCAAAAACTATAGATAATTAGAAAATCAATTAAATAGCTTGAAAACAGATAGAGAAGTAGAAGAAGGTGTAGGACGTTGAGAATCTCATCAAGTCCTAAAATCTATGTCGAACGAATGGTTGTTCCTTCTAAAGACTAATGTTATCATCTAAACGCAGCGATTCACTCAACAACTTTCGTAACATATTATTGAACTTAAATGAATAAATAATAATATATAAACAACACAAGCTTAGAGATCCTCGATCGATACTTTTACGAATACGAGTTCATACATAGACAAGTGTATACTTTAGCCAATGAACCTATTGACAATATAATTCGTGTCTATCTTAGTCGAATCACTGCTATCAGATATCTTTTCAGTTTCTAGGTTATCAATCTAGACTAGATGGTGATCGAACAACTAATCATGATATTCAAGCAATTCAATCGATACTTTTACGCATTCAACAGAAATTCGAGATGAGAATTGAGAATCCTAGCCCTAGGTGGATGAATTAACTTTAAATTTCACGTTAATCAAAATGAAACTCACATTCAATCAATAATAAGAATAGAGAAAATGAAAACTTACTGACGATAGAAATCACATTTCGTTCCCCACGTATTCAACCCTAACAATTCGAGCACATGACAAAAGAAAAATGGAGAAAATCTTAAGAAGAACTATTTACCAGAAGCTTTTGGTGTTCCTGAGTCTGGGAATTGGTCTCGGATTGTCCATGTACGCCCGATTAACAGCACATGCCGCTAGCGCCCGTAGCGTGCGCGATGGGTGCGAGTGACAAGGCGAGCGTGCGTGCAGCGCCTAGGGCACGATAGCTCGCCCGTTGCGGGCGCAAGACATCTCGCGAGGCGCGATGCCTCACGCAGTCCGACCAGCTGGGCGCAAGCATGCCTCACGTGCGCAGGGTGGTTGCTCTGTGAGCGCAACGCCTGCGCTCGATGCCCGTTGCGCATGCGACCCGTGGTTCAGTGTGCGGTTCGGTTAGGAGGGTCTCGCTTCCCATGCGATTCGGCCAGACAAGTTTTGGTCTGGTGATGGTTCCAAAAGAAAAAATCCGAGCAATATTGTTTTACAAAATAAAATGTAAAATAGGAGAAAAATGCCAAATAATACGAAAACATCTAAGCGAACAACATCAACCTAATTGACAAAAAATCTATGAAATGTGCTCAGATGAACTCAAATGAAGACTATAAAAACAGAAAACATGATAATAAAAACATGCAAAATAATTATATATCAAAGTTATTAAAAAAAAAATACAAGTAGAATTTAAGACAAGAATTATTACTATAAAAAATGCCTTAGTTGAATTAATTTTTCTTTAGTTCCACTAATCTTATTGCAAAAGTATCTAGTTATAATCTACATAACTGACGTTGAATACATGGGCGGAGCCATGTTCATCTCTTCCTGGGCTTTAGCCCGAGTAGACTTCTTGGGAGCATATATATATACATATATATATATATATTATATATACTTAAAAAAATATATAATTTTAATTATATATATAGTTAAAATTGAAATTGAACAATCTTTATACTAACTAATTAAAATATATAGCATAGTAACATAAAAATTATCGAACACAGTTTAAATTTAAATAACCGTCTCATAGATATCAATTTTGAGGAGCTTGATGAAAAAATTAAATAGTTCTTTGAATTTTGAGAAATAATTGTTCAACAAGTTAAATTTATTTCTAATAAGTGTTTTTTTTCTCTTTTTAATTTTTATTTTCTTGTTGTCATAATGAAGTGCCATTGACTTTTTTTAAGTCCACCTCTAAATTTAAACTCAAAAAATATTTTAGTTAAATGAATAT